AGGGACTTCTCTGGGACACTGCAGTGTAATCCCCAGTGTGGCTCGGGGTTACCGCTTCTGGCAGTGAAAATTAACCCCGAGCCACACTCGGGATTACCGCCAGGGTGGTTAAGACATATTGTTGCATACTGGAAGCAGAGTCTGGAAAGTTGTAGGATGCAATGATATCTGTTTTCTTTGTTTAAACAGTAGAGGACAGGAAGGAAAAACCTGTGGAGAAGTCGGCTGTTTCCACTTCTGTACCTACAAAGCCAACAGAAAGTACCCCAAAGGCGTCTTCGTGTACCCCAGTGCCTGTGACCGTGGCAGCAACCCCGCCTCTCCCAAAGCCTGTGAACCCTCCTCTTCTGGCCCCTTCTCCAGCCCTGGCTCTGCCAAACCTGGCTAATGTGGATCTGGCAAAGATCAGTTCCATCCTTAGCAGCCTGACGTCAGTCATGAAAAACACTGGTAAGTGAGCCCAGTAAGAAGGATACAAGGCTGACTTCCAGCTTTCTAATTGAACCATCAGTCTGGTTTTTTTGTTTACTTTTTTAAATTAAAGGGAATATTTTTAGTTAAAAAATAAAACCAACACTTAGTCATTTTAGAAAAATTAGAAAATAAATAAAGAGAATAAAATAAATACCTACCTCAAAGGAAACCACTTGTGTCTGACCTTACCAGTGTATATGTAGGTGAATGTTTTGGGAGATTAAATATTTGTAATAATTTTTCTTTCAATATTTGAAGCATATTGCATATAGTTTTTAAAACCAGCTGTTTAAAATTTAGCTATATATCATTCGATTATTTGTCTAAACCTTTTTTTATTAGACATACAGTGCATTTCCAATTTTTCACTGTTAAAAATAATATTGTAACGAGCAACCTTGATGTTAAAATTTTATGCACACCTCTTCCTATAAGGGTTGAAGAGTAAATAGGGCTTTTTTTTTTAATGGAAATTTTAATGAAAATACTAAATAGAGCAGCTCCATGTACTCATCACATATCTTCAACTGTATAAACACATGGCCTGCCCAATCCTGATTATTTTGAAGAAAATCCCAATTATTTCATTCTTCATGAATACTTAAATATAATTTCTAAAAGATAAAGACTCTCAAAAAAATCAGCATGTAGGTTTTTAAAGTCTTTTCATGTTGTAACTAAAATGATCTCCAAAAACTATTTATGTTCCAAGTACTATATGAAAGTTTCCATCATTCCTCAGCTTCTCCAAAACTATTTTGTATTATTTGAATCTTTGTCAAATTCAGTCTTAAAAAGTTTTTTTTAATTTGCATTCCTTTAATTAAAGATGTGGTTAAAATATTTTTCATTTGCTTAAAATATTTTTCATTTGCTTATCATTTACTTTTTTTTGTGAAATGCCTGTTCATATTTTTTATTGTTAAAAAAGATCAAAAATTATTTTATATACATTTCCCCTATGTTAAAAATTAATCCAATCCAGTATTTTAAAATGTAAAGGAGGTTGCTTATATAATCTCATTTTAGAGGCCATTTCAAAAGCAAATAACTCATTAATCACAGGCTTATGCGCTGGCTGAGCTCCACAATTGCAGCTCTGATCCTAATAACCAACCAGCCAGCAGTGTTTATCGAGAACCCACAGACCTCTGTGGTGTAGGTGTCATTCAGTAGAGAAAAAAGAAATAGATTCCTTAGTCTCTTTCTATTGGAGCTGTCAAAACTAATGGAATACATATGAACAAAACTTCCTATGTGTTTATTTTTGGAGTGTTCCAGCTAGATGGGAGCAAATCTTAATCTAATTTTCAAATTTGTATCTTTGTCCAAATGATGATATGGACCATTTGTGATATGGACCATTAATCACAGAGGAATTCCTGTTAAACACACCAAACTCGTTGGAGTGGAAAGTATCGTGCATGTAAAGGTCATTTGGAATTGCATTGTCTTGAATTAATCTTTCTGCCACCAGGGGTCAGCCCTGCATCAAGACCGTCCCCAGGAACGCCTGCCAGCCCTGGAAGCCTCTCCAGCGGCCTGAAAACACCTGCACCTGCCACGACTGCGGCGCACAACCCTCTGGCAAACATCCTCTCGAAGGTGGAGATCACCCCAGAGAGCATTCTGTCTGCTCTTTCCAAAACCCAGACACAGTCGGCCCCTGCCCTGCAAGGTAACGGACGTGCGCCTGTTAGGATGAGTGTGTGTCTCTGGCTTAAGCGGCGTTCCATTTCCGAGGAATCCAAAGCCAAGAAATGTATAGTACAGTTAATTCATTATTCTCTTTATATATATCATCTCCGAGCTGGCATTTCTAGAATTCTGAAATGTCAAAGCTGAAAGAAACTTTAAATATCATCTTGTCTAATCCCCTCCTGTTCAGGTGAGGAAATTGAGGCTCAGTGAGGTGGTGTGACCTGCTCAAGGTCACACACATCGATTCAGTGATGAGCCGAGACTAAAGACAGGTTTCTTTCACCTGCTCCACGACACCCCTAGGGGCTGCATCTGCCCCAGCTCTTAGTACAGGTCAGTACGTTTGAGGTTTATGTACTTCAATGTTAACTGAAGCTGAAGAGAATAAGAAAGGTCAGTCTACGATCAATACCTAATGAGATATGATTGTCTCCTTTTTTTAAAAAAAAATTTAAAACTGTATTGGGGAACACTGTGTTTTTTCCAGGACCCATCAGCTCCAAGTCAAGTAGTTGTTTAAATCTAGTTGTGGAGGGCGCAGCTCAGCTCCAAGTCCAGGCGCCATTTTCACTTTTATTCCGGTGGGGTGCAGTCCACCATCCCATACAGGAATCGAACTGGCAATCTTGTTGTTAAGAGCATGCACTGTAACCAACTGAACCATCCAGCCGCCCTATTGTCTCATTTTTTATGTCCTCATGTTTTTTAAAGGCCTCTATAGATACATAGTACATGTTTCTTTTTGCCTACTATAATTCCACCTTATTTTAACCTCTCTATTTAGCTTTGCTAGTTATCTCTTTTATGCCTAAAACTGCTTCTGACATTTTTTAATAAAACTTACCTGCTCTCTGTTCTCAGATCCTCCAGATACCAATACAGTCTTTTTTCAGCATCTCAATATAATTATGCAATGAATTACAAATACCAGAATAGTATCTTTAATGTAGTGATTTACTCCATATCAGGTTCTCAACCAGGAGCCTCCAGGGGCCATTTGACAATGTCTTTGAAGACATTTTCTGTCACAACTGGAGGGCTACTGCGTCTAGTGGGTGGAGGCCAGGGCTGCTGCTAAACATCCTACGATGCACAGGACAGCCCCCGCAATAAGGAATTTTCAGCCCCAAATGTCAGTAGCGCTGAGGTTTATGTGAATATTGAGCAGTACAGGTATCTATTAATTTTCCTATTTCCTAAACTGTTCTGTAGGTAATTCAGCCAAGCCCTGTGTTATAGTGAACTCTGTCGTAAGCTATAGGAGAATTCTGTGAATAGAACTAATACTATTAAATAGTAATTCACAGCCCCCATGTATGGGCACCAGCAATAAAAAAAGATAATGCAGCAGTCTATCTTATGGTACTAATTTCAGGATGATTAGTCTGAGAGATTGGCATGTTCATGATTGCTCCCTTCTAGTCCTGTAGTTACAGTAAAAACCTTGAACTCCTGTTTTAGCTCCTTACCTAGATATAATACTTACATCTTAAAGAAGCAGCTTTTCCTTTCAGCAGATTGTTAGACAACAATATCACGTGGACTTTGTCATCAGGCAAAATTTGAACAGAGCTAGGTGTGTGTGCTGACAAAATCAGAAGTGGGAACCCCCGAAAACAGCATTTTGTGGGATAACAGGGGATAGTTCATCCCTTTTCATTTTTTTCCAGAAAGTGGATTCTCCCTGACTTTTAAAAAGACTGTGTCCAGAAATTTAAATATGTGTGTTTCCTCAAAGATTGTAAAGGAAATCTCTTAGCACTTTGCTCTGATTGTGTCACCTACAGCCCTTAGCGACAGATTTTCAAAACAAAAGAACGACCTGAGTGGGCAAAGGGCCACAGAGTATGGAAAAAAGTAGTGTGTAGTGGCACGAGACTGTGCCACCTGTTACCAGAAACCCGAGGAATATTTTTCTTGACAAGATGGTTTTCTGAAGAATTTATCCCACAATATCTGAAAGATAGGCTGAAATATCTTTTACAAATCATATGACATTGTCATGTATCACATTCTAGTGCCTGAGGACTTCTGGCTTGGGTAAGAACAGTGACTACTAAGAATGAAATCATACTGTTAGAGGGGGAGAAATTACATAGCTAGGGAACTTTTGAGAAATGAAACATGGATTTTTTTTTTTTTAGGAGAACTGAAATGAACACTATTTCAGTTATTTGGATTTTATTGAATATTAGATAACAATACAAACCATGCACTATTATTTAGAAGTAGATGGCAGTTCAAAATGGTACAAGGATGGAGACTTAAAATTCTTCAGACCTTAAACAAACTCTTAGCAAAATAGATTCAAATTAAGATTTTAAAAAAACATTAAGTGAACTGTTAATATGAAATATTTTTTCATCATATCATTCTGAAGGAGCAGTTTTAGCATATGGCTAAAAGCTATAAATTTGGGTGAAGTGTATACAGGTTTTCATTTATGACCAGAAATTGGGTCAGTTTTTCAAAATCTGATTGAATTTATAGGACCATCCCTCATCTGTTCGTCAAGTGCTTTTCTAAAAAGTTTTCCACAGGCACAGTTTGCTTTGTTGGACGTCAGCTTTTGCCCCAAAGAATTCTTGCTCAGTGCTTCTGAGAAGGGTTTGTCTGTCAGTGAGTAGGGTTGACTCTTACCAGAATCATCCTGGGTAGGGCGATAATCCGTGAGCTTTCCAAGCTGGAAGATGGGGATTATGTATTTTCTTGTGAGAGGATCAGGGCCCCCGATGGTCTAGCTTTGTAAGTCTTTGTGGCGTATGTTTGTATGTTTATTATTGCTACATTTTACAACCAAAAATGATAGCTATGAGCATTGTTTGCCCAAAGGTAACACCAGTCTAGCAAGAGATCTTGAAAAAAGTGTCCCTGTTCAAATAAATTTCTGCAATTTGCATATGCTATCTCTCTCTTGAGAATAATAGTGTACATTAACTTACTAGAGACAATTGTGGTGGTTGGAAAGGAAGGGTAGGGCTGACTATTTGTATTTGGAGAAGCAGTTTCACAGATCAAACATGAAGAAATACTGGCTTAAAGTGTTATTTTAAGAGTGATTTTGCTTCCTTTCTCTTCCTGCTGTGTCTTGTTTAAACTATGAATGATTCTGACACTAAAATCTCCCCCTTCCGGTTGCCTTTTATTATATCATGTTGGACACATTTCATGACTGTGCTAGAAACATTTCAGTGATTTGCTGTCTATATATCGACACATAGGTCCAGTGTTTTCTATGACATTAGCCATTGCTTGTTTGGTCTGGATTTCCCTTTGGCCTCATGTTTTAGTGCCTATCTGGTTCCCACTGGAATGAATGAGAATATCCTGTTGGCCTAAATTGTTTTCATTGTGAGGTAGGGAGCTGTTCTTTTTAACTCCTCTAATTCTTGTTTCTACAGGCCTGTCTTCTTTGCTGCAGAGTGTTACTGGGAATCCAGTTCCAGCCAGTGAAGCTGCGCCCCAGAGCACTTCAGCTTCCCCGGCCAACACCACAGTCCCCAGCATAAAAGGAAGAAATGTGCCCTCCAACGCCCAATCCTTTATTCCCAAAAGCTTCAACTATTCTCCTAACTCATCAACATCTGAAGTCTCTTCATCTTCAGCCAGCAAGGCCTCAATTGGGCAAAGCCCAGGGCTCCCAAGCACCACTTTCAAGCTCCCGTCCAACTCCCTGGGGTTCACAGGTGCCCACAATACCAGCCCTGCTGCCCCGCCTCCTGAGGTCGCCATGTGCCAGTCTTCAGAGGTCTCCAAGCCAAAGCTGGAGTCCGAGCCCACCTCCCCGAGCCTGGAAATGAAAATCCACAACTTCTTAAAGGGCAACCCTGGTTTCAGCGGCTTAAACCTAAACATCCCCATCCTGAGCAGTTTGGGGGCCGGCGCCCCAGCAGAAAGCCATCCCCCGGACTTCCAGCGTGGCCCGACTAGCACCTCCATCGACAACATCGATGGAACCCCCGTGCGGGATGAACGGAGCGGGACGCCCACCCAGGACGAGATGATGGACAAGCCCACCTCCAGCAGTGTGGACACCATGTCCCTGCTTTCGAAGATCATTAGCCCGGGCTCTTCGACGCCCAGCAGTACGCGGTCACCGCCGCCTGGGAGAGAGGAAAGCTACCCCCGGGAGCTCGCCAACTCTGTCTCTACGTATCGACCCTTTGGCCTGGGCAGTGAGTCGCCCTATAAGCAACCTTCGGATGGAATAGAGAGACCATCTTCCCTGATGGACTCTTCACAGGAAAAGTTCTATCCAGATACTTCTTTCCAGGAAGACGAGGATTACCGAGATTTTGAGTATTCGGGGCCTCCACCCTCTGCCATGATGAACCTAGAGAAGAAACCAGCCAAGTCCATCCTGAAATCAAGCAAGGTTTCTGATACCACGGAGTACCAGCCAATCCTGTCCAGTTACAGCCACAGGGCCCAAGAATTCGGGGTCAAGTCTGCCTTCCCTCCATCTGTCAGGGCCCTTCTGGACTCGAGTGAGAACTGTGGCCGGCTGACCTCATCCCCTGGGCTGTTTGGTGCCTTCAGCCTCAGAGGGAACGAACCTGGGCCTACCCGCTCGCCGTCACCGAGTAAGAGCGATTCGTTTTTCACCCCCGACTCCAACCACAATAGCTTGTCTCAGCCCGCCACTGGGCACCTCGGTTTGCCACAGAAGCAGTACCCAGACTCGCCTCACCCAGTCCCACATCGTTCCCTTTTCTCTCCGCAGAACGCCCTTGCTGCCTCCACGGGCCACCCACCCACGTCAGCCGTGGAGAAAGTCCTGGCCGCCACCATTTCCACCACCTCGACCATTGAGTTTAAGAATATGCTTAAAAACGCCTCACGGAAGCCCTCCGAAGAGAAGCATTTTGGCCAGGTCCCCAGCAAGGGTGCGCCCAGCGATGGCGTCAGCCTCTCAAGCCTCGCCCAGCCCAGCCTGCCCGCCACGGATCAGCAGCAACAAGAAGAGCACTTCCGCATAGAGACCCGCGTGTCCTCCTCCTGCTTAGACTTGCCTGACAGCACCGAAGAGAAAGGGGCGCCTATCGAAACCTTGGGTTACCGTAACGCAGCCAATAGGAGGATGTCCGGGGAGCCGATACAGACTGTAGAGTCCATCCGCGTTCCCGGGAAGGGAAGCAGAGGACATGGGCGTGAGGCTTCACGGGTGGGTTGGTTTGATCTGAGCACCTCGGGCAGCTCTTTTGACAATGGCCCCTCAAGTGCCTCTGAGCTGGCATCCCTTGGGGGTGGGGGCAGCGGAGGCCTCACTGGCTTTAAAGCGGCACCATACAAGGATCGGGCACCCCAGTTTCAGGAAAGTGTCGGCAGCTTTCGTTCCAACAGTTTCAACTCAACATTTGAGCATCATCTCCCCCCGTCCCCTTTGGAACACGGGGCACCCTTCCAGAGAGAGCCAGTGGGGCCGTCATCTGCCCCACCTGCCCCTCCTAAGGATCACGGTGGTATCTTCTCTCGAGATGCACCCACGCATCTACCCTCTGTGGATCTTGCGAACCCCTTCACAAAGGAGGCCGCCTTGGCCCATGCTGCCCCGCCCCCTCCTGGAGAGCACAGCGGGGTCCCTTTCCCCACCCCACCCCCTCCTCCACCCCCGGGGGAACATAGCAGCAGTGGTGGGAGCGGTGTCCCCTTTTCTACTCCACCTCCTCCTCCCCCTGTCGACCACTCTGGGGTCGTGCCCTTCCCAGCCCCACCACTGGCAGAGCATGGAGTGGCAGGGGCAGTGGCAGTGTTTCCCAAGGACCATGGTTCCCTCCTTCAAGGGACCCTGGCTGATCATTTTGGGGTGCTCCCAGGACCCAGGGACCATGGGGGCCCCGCCCAACGGGACCTCAACGGCCCTGGCCTTAGCCGTGTGCGAGAGAGCCTGAGCCTGCCTGCCCATTCTCTGGAGCACCTGGGCCCGGCCCATGGAGGAGGAGGTGGGGGAGGCAGCAACAGCAGCAGTGGCCTCCCCTTGGGTCCCTCACACAGAGACACCATCAACCGGAGTGGTATGATTTTGCGGAATCCCCGGCCCGACTTCCGGCCTAGGGAGCCTTTTCTCGGCAGAGACCCGTTCCACAGTTTAAAGAGACCCAGGCCCCCTTTCATTAGGGGCCCTCCGTTCTTTGCACCAAAACGCCCATTCTTCCCTCCCAGGTACTGATGGAAACCAAGGGAAAGGCATTTTGAACAGTCTAGAGAGCATTGGAAGTAGGAGTTTGGTTTATTGTTGTTTTTGTTTCCCTCCTTTGATTTATTATTATTATTTTTTTACTATGACAAAGGGCCTCCCTTCCAAAGTAAAAAGTCATATATGCTTACATTTCACTATTCCATCCAGTCCCCCCTCCCACTGCACTTAACTACCTTCCCCAAGTTGTTTGTATTTTAAAGAGGGTGGGACCGGGGGGCAGGCAAAGAAACACAACCAAAGCCACTTCCTTTGGCTGGGGGTTTGACGGGCGGGGAAGAAAACCAGTCTTACTTTACCCCATCTCCTGAAGAGTATTATTACATTTGAAATAAAACTTCCATCAGTACAGATCATAACGTGCAATGTTGGGATGTTATTTGGGGCTTGGCTTATCAGTAGTCCATGGAGGGGTTCCTGGCCCCTTCTGTCTCCAGCTAAGTTAACAGCTGTAACAAGCTTGGCTCCCTTCCCTGTATGCTCCCTGCTGGCAGCCAAGAGATACTGCTGAGAGGAAATGTGGGAGTCCTTGGACCCGTCAAGCTGTTTTGTTTTGTTTTTAAAGGCATGTTGAAGTTAAGTTCTCTACCGAGTTTCTCCTAAAATTTTACAAAAAAGAAAAATCAGCCTCTTCTAAAGTGCTGTCAGGCAGTAATTGGGGGAGATACAAACCTCATTCTGTCCTAGTCAGAAATTTTCCCTCTTTATCCTTGGGATGGAAGAGAGGGAGCTGGATGTAATTTCGAGATTAAAATAAGGAGTAACTGCAGTGTGCAACGTTAGAGAAAGGAGCCCTTCACACGTCACCGTGTGAAGTGACCTGCCCGTCCTTCAGAAACGTCCTTGAGGGAGCGTCACCCGTCTTGCACCAAGCTTCCTGCTTTTCTCACCTGACTTTCTTTTTCTCCCTCAGTTTTCACTTCTCTGCCCAGCACGTCACTACAGTTGGCAGTTGTTACAAAGGTGCGTGCGACTGCAGCGTTACCCCTGTGTTTTTGATGGAAGTAGACATTTTTACCACGGTGCCTCCCTGACATAAGTGACCCCTGTTGGTGGTTTTCAGCAACGTTGACTATTAGGGAAAGGAAATATTTGTCTTTTAATCTTTCCTCTCGCCTTGTCCTGCCCCGTATTCACCCATACTCTTGGTATTTCAAAGGAGGTGGTTCAGTAGCATCTTTCTTTAGATTGTACCTCTTCAGATGTGTCTGAGTAGCGAGTGGGTTTCTCTTTACAGAGAAACGGGAGCACCTGGTAAATTGAAATGCACCCCACTCTGCAGAAAGCAGCCTGTCACGTGTCTAGGATCCTTGTCTAGGATCCTTACCTCCCGGTCCCAACAGGAAATATGAATGTTTCTGCCCTTAGTCATTTCACATGACAGAGAAGTTCTTTTCTTTTCCCTGAACTGAAAGGCTGCTTATTTGTATTTCTGCAACTAGTCCTGGGAAAAAGACAATCACCGCACTTTTGAGTGTTTATATCTTTATATCTAGGACACCGAAAAGCAACTGTTGTTTTACTATTATTTCTTATTAGTTAGTGTCTTACCCCAAGGCACACACTGGTAATCTCCAGCTAGATGAGTAAAACTGTGTGTGGAGTTTTTGAGACTCCTGGTAAGTTTCATATTTTTCTCCCAAGTTAGCACGGCGTAGAACTGACTGTAGGAAGTGTGGGGGTGCTTTGGTTTCCTGCAGACAGTAAAGTTGGGGGGGCATGGCCAGTGTAGGGACCGAAGGTGATTCTTTGTCTCAGAATAAACTTGCTTTTCAGAGAAAAATCAGCTTAAGCCAGGCGTGCGTCATAGTTTGGGAGTTTCGTGTAATTTATTCCATGTTATTTATTTGGGCTCGACGTGTGTTCTGTGGTTAGGATGCTGCAATTCATTCGTCTCCCTAATGCATTTCTGGTCCTACGCCTACTAACTGTTCTTTCTTTGACCCTCTCAAGCCTCTACCCTGTAGCTCTCCCCACAAAAATGCATGAGACCATGACCTTGTATGTGGGATAGGGTATATAGCGTAGCAAAGCAAGGCAACAGTATAGTTACCTTGAGTCCTAAGACATTTGTTTAGGGAAAAGTTTGAGAGACTGGGAGTGGGTAGGGGGATGGGGGGGGGATTCTATTTGGCTCAAAACTGAAACAATTTTTTTTCTTTTTTTTTTTTTTGCAGAAATTAGGTGGGGTGTTTTTCATTCTAGAGTAAAAGAATGTGAATTCTTTCTGCTGCTCTTGTTTAAGCTAAAAGTAGTGTTTACTTGAAAAGGCTCTCTGACCATTCGGTTTTATCAGAAAATGTGGGGCTGTCAGGGAAGTGGCTTCTTGAATGTTGGGGCAAGGTAATTGTCCTCAGAAGTGTGATGGCTAACACGTGAAAGGAAGACCTTGTACGGTTTATAAAAGATAGACTTTTTTAAGGGTCGGGTTTTTTTGGTGGGCGTTTCGTTTTTTAAGCCACAAAATCCTCAGCGCACTTGTTTCGGGATGGAAGCGAGGATTTGTTTGTGACTGTCAGCTGTTAACTTCATTTTACTGTCTACAGCAGGAAATGAAGACGATAATGTATATATGTGACATAGCGAAACAAAAAAGACCATTCTGGCACTTATACCATGAAACAAAGGGGTTTGATTCTTTCTGTGTCTGTGATTTAAAACTCGGTGCCCATGCTCTGACTTTTGTATTTCAACCTGAGTTTAAAAAAAATAAACAAGATATTTTTTAAAGAAAGCAGAACATAGTGTGTCTTGGCAAGGACATGATTCATGAAAGCATATGCGAAGTTGTTTCTGAGGTCTTGGTGCTCACTGTGAAGTCACAGATAGAATCGGTGGGGGTCGCGAATACACTGGTACCTTCAAACTCAGCGATAACAGCATCAGAAATAGTCCTTAGGGGTTTCGGAAGCCTTGACTCTTCGGTCAGCTCGGATGGAAGCGCTCCCTGCTTGCCTCTGCCCTCCCACAGTCTGAGAGCAAGGAGGATTTGGTTTGATTCCAGGAAGGGTAAAAATGATCAGAGTAGGACTTCCATCCTTTCCGGTCCCGGGAATACAATGTCTGTGATATGTATGGTACCGCAAACCTATCTAGATAATGTGAATACGCTCAACTTCCTAACTGCAAAATATTCACTATCCTGAAGTTACTGGTTCATGCAGAATTAAGCTTCAGCTGTTATTGTTTTGAAGCCGCTGTAAATTACTGCTTCCCTCCCTCCCTTCTTCCTTCCCTCCCCCCTCTTGAATGGGGGGGGGTGCCTGTTATGATTAAAATTAGACATGTTGGATTGATACTCTCACGTGTTCGGTGTGGAAAACAAAACAAGTACATGCTTTAGAGGCAACAACAATGAAATCCTTTTGAAATGTGTATTAATATCATTTAATAAAATAACTAGTTCTAAAGGTTTGACATTTTTCTTTGAGATCTGGGGCTTTAACCAAGGGCCCCCGGCTTCGCTGGTGAGTGCAAAGTAGGAGGAAACTTCTCCGGGAGCTGAAACTGCTGTTTTGTGTTTGGAAAACCTACGTTTTTCTCCAGCAAAGACCCTGCAGACTGTCCAGGGCTGAAGGTGAAACCAGCTACAGAATCCAGGAGGAAAAGCCTGGATATCTCTGAAGATATGATTAGATTGGCTTTTGGTCTAAGAGTGCACGTGGGGTGGGTGAGGGGTGGGTGTGTCCGCACATTTCTGAGGTGCACACAGATACCACAGACCACCCATCTCGTCCCGTACTGTAACAACTTGCACTTTTCTCTCTTCCCAGCCATTCCTTTTTTTTGTTTTGTTTTTAGGTCTGTTTGTCCCAATATTATGTTTTTGTTTTCCAGTTTAATAAAGTATGGTTTCCTTTGTTGTGTGGTTGACTTCCCCTCTCACATTGATCTTGTCCAGCTGTCGCCTTTGACTTCTGCATCCCGTGTCACTGAAGGCAGGCCTGAGCCACTAAGAGCTCCGTGGCCTCGCGGGTTTTCTGTTTGATCCTTTGTGTAACGCAGTTTTGGAAAGGGATGAAGGATGGGTGGGGTGAGGTCAGAGATGGTCAGGGAGTGGACGGTAATGCAGTGAGATACACTGTATGGATAGCTTTTGTGTATGTCTTCAAAAAGTTGTACAACTGTGAGCGAAGAAGCACTTTTAAAGCAAGATAGAATCGGGGTGGTGGTGACGGGTCCTGGCCAATTCGTCGCCCACATCTCCCCTTCTCGCTGCATATTGGCAATGTCGTACAGAAGCCGCACAGCCCTTGTCTCTTGCCCACTTGTTTTTCATAGTTCACTGAGGTTTAATAAATGCATTGTTGGCTTTAAGGGGTAGAAAGAGTCACAGCTTCCAGATCAGGCCTGGGTCACTGGCAGGGTACAGGCTCTGAATAGCAGCCTTGATTACGTGTCGCTTCACACATGTCACCAGACACTTCAGAAATAGCATCGGCCTAGGAACACACCCAGCAGGTGGGGTGCACCGCTGAACTGGCTGCTTCTGGAATCAGGCTCACCCTTTCTTCCTTGTCCCACTTTGGGACTTTGACTTGCCCACCTGATTTGTCTCCACCTCCAAGGAAGCAACAGTGTTGACTTCCTCATTGGCCTTTCTGGACTGTTGCAAAGGTATCATCTCCCCTAAATAGTTTTAACGTAAGCCAATGTGGTATAGGAGGGATGAGTGAGTTACCCCCTCATGCAGGTAGACTCAGTAACACAAACTATCCGAATGGGTGTAGGGTATTGGGGTGTTCCTCATACTTGTTTATGAGTGACTGGGGGTAAGTCCGGTCAGCTGCTGCTCACAGTTGCTGAGTAATAACTCACTGAGGCTGCATAGACACAGCTACCAGAGCGATATAAGGGTGATACCGGCTCTTAAGTAAACATCCTGTTCTGCCCGCCCCCCCACGCAGAAATAAAGAGGCACATAGGCTTCAAAGAAAAAGAGCAAGTGCAGTGTAAAACCATGAAATTATCCCTGATGGACTGCTGGGGGGAGAACAGGAGAAACCTTTAATGCTTAGGGACAAGTTTGAGGGGAAGGGAGAGGAAGACCGAGATATATTTAGAAATTGATTTTGGCAGGTACCTTAGGGTTCCTTTATTTTTTCCTGTCCTTTCCCTTTGTTCTCACTGTGACAAGAGTCAAATGAGAGCACAGTGTGGATGGAAGAGCTCGTGAGCAGTGCCAACAGAGAACGAGTACAGACTGCAGCTTTTTGTGTTTGACTCAAAGGGCGTTGGCTAAATCAGTCCATCTGGAGCTGTTGGGGTTCATAACAAATGAGGTGTCCCAGCAACTTCCTTTCTCATCCCTGTTGTAGCCCCCCCCCTTTTTTGAGAATTACTCAAGTTCTTTGCCACATAATCTGTGGGAAAGACATAAGAGGATTTGCAACGCCATGCTTTTTGTTGGGGTATTTCCCTTGGAATGGGTAGGAAGAAGCGGTGAGCAACGTGCAGTTCATTCTGTGTCGCCCGCCCCTGGCTAGGAATCCTTTGTACCTACATGAGACAACAATGTAGGGTCCCCTGTCTTCTAGGTAGCTAATCATTGCCAAGGGCAGTAAAGATTATTAAAGGATTAATTTGAAATCTTTGTAACTGGGAAGTGGGTCTTAGTTGTATATTGCCTTCTATAGATGTATCCAGGACCTTGCAGACTACTTTGCTCTTTCCTTTGTTTTTTACTTCAACTTCAAACCTAAGTTGACATCCCCGCCCTGGCTCCTGTGTTGGGGAGACTTCCCTGTGTTTTTCCCTTGGCCTTGACATGACAAACCAGGGATGTTTAAAAGGTGGGGATAGAGATGGCTGTTCCCTTGTTTCTCTTCTATGGACCCAGGAGATGTCTTGGGGAAGGGAAATCTTAGTAGAGGTCTTAGGTGAGCCCAAGCGTTTTGTTTTCAAAGCCAAGTTCAACTTATCCCCATGGTCCTGATAGGAAGTTTCCCCCCTTTATTTTATTTTTTTAAAGATTTTTTTATTGGGGAATTGGGGGAGGGGGAACAGCCTAGTTATTGTCCTTCAATCTTTGCTGTGGAGGGCGCAGCTAGCTCAGCTCCAAGTCCAGTCGCCATCCGGCCACCCATCAGCAGTTTGCAGCTGCTCAGCTCAAGGTGCCGCGTTCAATCTTAGTTGCGGGTGGGCGTAACCCACTATCCCATGCGGGGCTTGAACCGGAAACCTTGTTGCTAAGAGCACATGCTCTAACCAGTGAGAAATCCGGCCGCCTGTTGGGAGCTCAGGGCAGCTCAGCTCAAGGTGCCGTGTTCAATCTTAGTTGCAGGTGGCCATAGCCCACCATCCCATGTGGGAGTTGAACAGGCAACCTTGTTGTTAGGAGCATGTGCTCTCAACCAGCTGAACCATTCTGCTGCCTGTTGGCAGCTCAACTCGGGTGCAGCTCACTGTCCCATGTGGGAATCGAACCGGCGACCCTATTGCTCAGAGCTTGCACTCAACCAACTGAGCCACTTGGCTGGGCTTCCCCCCTTTATTTACTCAGCAAATTTGGCTGGACTTTTACTCTTTGTTGCATCTTAAAGCAATGTTAAAGAAAAGCTTGGCCCCATTCCAGGTCTTTATTACTAAGGGAAAAAAATTTTTAATAAACCTAACCTCCCCACACCACCTACTGTACCATTTGCCACTTGGCTAGTTCTTTGAGCCTCAAGCATTTGGTGGCAATGATATAAACCTTTATATATTTTACCTTCTTAAATTTCTTACCTTCAATATCTTTTCTACCTATTTGATGCAGGGAAATTTTGCCTCTAAGCTAAGATAGATTTGGAGGTATGTGTTGATCGCATGACAAGGAAAATGTTCTTTACCTTCAGTGGAGAGCATTCTTCCGTAAAGCTTAAGATTATAAAAATAATACCACCTCAACCATAGCTTTACCTAACTTAGGGTGTCTATTCTAAAAGTGGAGTAAAGCTGAGAATTTACCAAAACTTGACTAAGGGTCTAGGATGTCCCTTACTGAGAATTCCCTTTTCCCTAGACTTCTGTGAAATCTGGCAGTATTTTCTTAGTCTGATAGAAAAAAATTAGTAAGACTCCTCTTTTCCTGGCTTTTGATTGGACCCCTCTCTCCACCGTATATTAAGGGCCTTAGGGGCCCCAAAGGCTCCGAGGAGTGTACCTGGACAGAAAAGGAGGAGCTGTGCTACCAAACGATGCATTCTGACCATTCTCGTGTCTGAGAGGCAGCGGAGCATGGCATATAAAGGCTTTGAATTCGGATAGACTGGAGCTTCTCTCAGGGTTTTTTCCAGTTTTAAAGGGAGCATCCAAAGAGCTACTACTTGTCAGGGTTATTCTAGGAATTAAGATAGTGAAGGCACAGCATGTGCACATAGTGTTTGGTGATGTTCTGGGTGGAAGGTAAAAGCAGTTGTAGGGATAGATGTTTGCCAGGCAGACTAACGGGTTAAAATTCCCTGAGGCTGAAACATCCTAAGCACCAATCAGAAGTCGTGGAACTGGCTACTGATGAATTGGCCTTAGCTTGTTCTGCTGGTTTGCTTGCTACGGGGGAAGAATGGGATCACTTGACATTCCTTCCTCCACTGCAACGCAAGTTACATGGGTGATGATGTAGTATTTGATTGATCAGCATCGCCTGAGCACCCACCTCTGCATTGCACATAGTGAACAGTCAGCAGATGTCCGAGGGATGAGTGCAGGGAGCCGCCATAACTGGTACCTACGTACTCCACCGTCCCTCTACTATTCGCACGAAAGAGGACAAGGCAGAATGATTAACGAGCGTGTGTGTCAGTATATGTATCATTTGGAGTTTCAAGTCAGTATAGTGATTGGTACATTCTTAATTCAGTAATTATTTACTGAGCACCTCCCATTTTGTTGCCTGCAGTGTAACACTCCCCTGTCCTTCTTGGTGCAGGGCTCTGGGAAAAGTTCTGCCTGTGGTCACACTTTTTGAATGCCATTTTGAAATTCTCACTACCTTTTCCCAACTACACACACACACACACACACACACACACACACACACGTAATCTTCCTCTTCCACAGTTTTATTTCTTTTTGTATTTCAGGGTGTCTAACATATCAGAAGGTGGAGCCAAGATCCAGAATGGTGCCTGTGACTCACATCAACTGCTGCCTTCCCCAGACAGTACATCTGGCCTCTGGAAACCTAGATTAAACAGCTTTCTCTGACAGCACTTCCTCCACAATCCTTGATTCCATCACCACTGGAAACTTGAAAACCAGCTCTAACCATCCCCACCCCCAGGTGAGGGGACTAATGGATTACTGAGAACCTCACAGCTGCCCCCAAGTCCGTTTCCCTCAGACTTGACTACAAACCTGCCCGGGTTTCTATTTTTACTATGTAAAATAAATCAAATATACCTAGTGCTGTGTCCTAGATATAGCAGGG